CTGTGGGTCGCTGCTATGGGGGCGGCTGTCAAGAGCATCGCATGTTATCAAGAGTTCACTGCATCGATGCAGCTTGTGCAGTCCTTCTACGAAGAGGTTGGCCTCTTCCACGCTCGCATAGCGCTGCCAAGTTCCTGCTGGCCTAACCGCAGTTGGACAGCAACCAGCGCAGCTCGCTTGAATTCAGGTCGTCAGTGTTTGTGGCTCACCAGACGCTCTATCAGGCATACAGTCAAATGGCAAAATAGATGCGTTGTGCTAGTTCTGCTACCTGTTCCTCTATGTGGTCCCAGCGAGCAGCGATGGCAATTCCGCTCAAAAGGTCAGGCTTGCCGCGCCCATGACATTATCAACGCAGTCCATTTGTAGGTTTCAGGTTGGTGACGCGGATGCATTCAAAGTCCACCTTTTCGTCGCAACGTCTAGTCTGCATGGATCTTCCTACCGTGTAGCTCTGGAGATGATCCGTGGGAAGCATGCAACCGGTCCCAGGAAGGGAGCCGCTCCGATTTGTTTTGGAATTTTCGAGACTTCCTAATGCGTCCCACTTGGGAAATAGCAGTCGTGGTTGGTGCGCCGCTGCAAAAGTCTGTGTCAGCACCTGTCTAAAACCTACATGGGCGCGGAGCAGGGCAGGAGTTTCTGAAGCCTTGCGGGCAATCAGGACTCCGACTGCTGTCGCCGCAACTTGTGCTCATTCCGAACATGTTGATTCGCATGCTGCAGGCTGCGGTGACATCGGCCTCTGCAGCCTTGCGTCCCCGCCGTTCAGTGCCCTCCTGCTGACTGCTGGCAAAGGCAGGGCGCAAGACATATGAGGACAGCTTGTGAACCACAGCGCAGCCTGTCTGGGACAGGCAAGAGCTTTGTTTACACTCGTTGCAATCTGCTGCCAATCGTGTATTGCCGAACCATAAGGGTTATGGACTCGCGCAGTTTCGCATGCCGCACATGACCGTGCAGTGATGCGAATGCCAAGAGGTCGGTTGTCGATTTAGCCCGGAAGCCTCAGCTCCCTGGCTGCTTGCGTGCAGTTCGAAGGGGCAGAATCGCGAAATGCATATCCTGGGGACCTCGGCCTCCGTAGACTTGTGCCAGGCCCACTGACATCTGCTAGAAGTAGAAAATTAAATTCGGGGCTCAAGCTAGCTTTTGCACGGCACCTTGCAGGCTAGCGCGCGGCCCGACACATTGTGGGGATGAGCACTGCGCTGCCTGCGTACAGCGTGACCCCAAAGCGACACGCAGGTCACTCCTGTGGCTGTCAAGCTTCAGCTTACGGTCGCAGCGTCTCGCTCTCATCGACCTTACTATTGTGTAGCTCTGGGTTTGCGGAGAGTGACCCGGCCTTCTCCCGATCCCTTTGACATGCAGGACAAGAGCCGTGGATGGTTCTATGCACGAGCCCCTGATCCCGACTGCTCAGTTGTCAGTAAAGAGCACCTGAGGCAGGCAGCCACGAGTAAACCCGTTCTTCCTTTGATCATACATCCGCGTGCAGCTCATGTTGCTGTGGACCCTTACTGCCTACACATCCTCCCATGCAGCGTCGATTCCACGGACATCGGCCTCTGGAGTTCTCTTCCGTTGCTACGTACGAAAGCCGTGCCACCACTGTCGGCCGCTGCAGCATGCCAGCGCCAAGGAAGATCGCGAGGTTTATGTTCATGACAAGAGGCATGCGCAGGAGCCTTGGATGCCTCCACAGCGCATCTTAGCAAGGCGACGCGCTCTTATTCCAACTGGCTAAGTGTGCCTGCAGGCCCTGTCTCTCTTAAGCAAGCTGTGACGCGCCCGCATGCGCATGCATGGCTGACGATGCAGTTACTTTGTGGTCGCTCCGTGTCTCGGTCACCGATAATGACATGAAGAAGCGGCGATTGCTCCAGAGCCCCTGCAGCAAGTGCCGTTCCCGTGTGACGAGTCATCGACGACAGGCACCACGTGTTCTCCGCTTTCTTTCTGCATCGCGTCCAGGAGCATTGGAGCAATGATCCGCCCAGCCATTGGCATGACAGCCTCTTGATGCTTCGGTGTTCACAGACCCAGACACGGGCACGGGGCCAGCAAGTGCAGGTGGCTGTTAGAGAGAGGCTATGCCGGCGGATGCCTCGCCTGGCTCGGCACCTTGCTCGATGCCCGGCCCGTCGCCGAAAGTCAGGAGCTCTATCGTCAACTCTTCGCATGCTTGAACATGCTCGTGGCCTAACGTTTCTTCTGCCCTGCCGTCCGGGTGCTTCGTTGATCTTCGGAGCGCGCCGGAGCTGTCCGGCGCGTGTGTCAGCAGGAACCTGATTCCCACTGCGCTGCGCCGTCGACGGCTGCTGCTATTCGGCAGGACGCTCCTTGCGAAGGCGAAGGTGTGGAGGGCCAGAGGACCTGTTTGCGCCTTCGGTCGCCAGCAATCAGTTTGCCATCCCAGTCTTTGAGAACTCCGTCTAGACCTACCAAGTAGCTTAACTTCGCACAGGGCGGCGTCCTGCAACGTGCAGAGATCTTGCACAACGGGGCCCGGAAGAGATGCACGCAGGTTCTTTGCCGCAGGGTGCTTCCCTTTCCGGAAGCTGATTGCTTTCAGAGCCCCAAAGTCTCGCACAGGAACCTGTCGCAGGATGGGAACATCGCAGGCCTGAAGAGGCAGTCCCGTCCTGCGCCGGCAACGAGGCAGTAGCTCAGCGTACAACAGCCACGTGTGGGTGTGCTGTGGCACGACTTATGGCTTGCTCGCCGGCAAGGCATACATTGCTTTGAGCAGCCAGCGAGCCGGGAAGCACCTGCGAAGCTGACGTTCCCGAAGTTTAGCCGCCCAAGAGGCAGGCGTCAGGCATCGAAAGCCTTTCCGGCCTCTGTCTTTCACCGGACGTTTATGCATTGACGCCCTGAAGGCCTTGAACTGACGGCCCCTAGAAGAAACGATAAGAGCACTCCAAACATAAGGTGCGTTCAGCAAAGTCAGGCAGTTGTCAGACTGGTGGGTGGCGCGGAGGTCTGTCCACCGCACGCCGTCGCCGGCGAGGTGCCAGAGACACATTTCGCAGACCTCACTTTGCTGATGTTCCCGTTGCACTAGCAACTCTCGCTGACTTCCCCCCGGTGTAGGATGCCCTCATGTTTCTCACTCGAAAGAAGGAAAACGAGGCCGCATGCCGCGGTGATGCGCAGCGAGCGCACCCATCACCTTCCAGTGGCCCTCCGGATCTTAGCCTTTCCCAAGCCGTGTCTGCAATCGAAAGCCAGTCCAGCAGCTTATCAGCGCTGTCGGTTACCGTGACCTTCGTGAACTGCAAGCCAGATTTCTCCAGGCCCCGCATGAAGGCGGATTTCATTGTACCTTCTCCAGGCACGGCCGGAATGTAGCCAAGTTCATCATGGTTTCTGGCAGAGTCTTTGGTTCGATGCCCGGTCCATTGGTGCATCGACCGTGCGATTGTTTGCCCCGGCAGAAACTGCTGGGGTGAGCTGTTAATGCTTTCCTACCAGGGTTTGCACCAACTTGGGAAAAAGATTTGCGGTCGAGGTGTGAGCTCATGTTCCTTGGCCTGGACTTCGTTCGAGTAAACTGTGATCACAGCTCCGCTTAATGCCTCGCCCATATGTGTAGCAGCTTCGCCGCCGATGGCCGTCTCTGCAAAGCTTCAGGAGTAGCTGCTCGAAAGTTTTGTGGCACGTTATTGTGTTCTCTAGACGCAAAGTTCAGACATCTGTACACTGTAGCGATCTTGAACTAGCCGTGTTTGTGACAAACCCGCCCCTGGCATGGAGGTGGCCTTCGAGGGATGCACCGTACCTTTGAACACAGAAGCCCAAGAGCAGTTTTTTGCGACCTGTGCCTTGAATGCTTCCAATATTTGGTTCACCGCTGTGAGAGCTTGACTGCCTGACAGGTGGATGCATTCTCGAATGGTTGCCAAAGGGGGGCATCTTGCGGCTTGACGCTCATGACTTTCGGGATGAAATGGGGAGGGACGGGGATGAGAAAGAAAGAGGAGAGAGAGAGACGCCTCTCACGCCCAAGGGAGAGAGAGAGAGAGAGAGAGAGCTGAAGGTTGTTCATAGTCCAATATACTTACCCGTGAAACCTAGGGGAACCCATGCTTTTTCACGCCCTACCGAAAGCCCCGTAACAAACGGGGGGCCCATGAGGCCGGGGGGCCTAACCAGCCCTTCAAGCCCTGTGGAAGAAGAGTAGCCATTTTGGCTCAAGCCGCGAGTGGTCCAAGGCCGAAGCCTCCACAGAAGAGGGCCTGAGAAACTCGGCGCGCGGGGATGGCCTGAGTGAGAGTGAGTGTGCGATCGAGCAGCAGGGAGTCTTCAAAGAACTACGCGCCTACCTGCCGGGGGTTGTGGACCGCGACATAGTCAAGGTCGGAGCCGGAGGGTGACCGCTGCTCGGCGAGCGGGGGAGTGTGTGTACCGCTACCTGAACGCCATCGGCGGCACTACTCACGATCATCATTGCCGCAGCGATTCAGCCGGGGGAGACCGCTTGTTCTACCCCAACGCTGGGTGAAGACCAAGTTCAACGGTGTGTTCGTGATACTACTTGCAGGACACCGAGGGAGAAACGATCGCTATGGCGGCGCCGAGCAGCACCCGGGGGGAAGAGAATGTGGCGCCCCCACAAGGCACACCAAAGAGAGCCCGCGAAAGAGAAGCTGAAGTTGATGTGGATGGGGAACAGCCACTGACATTGACACTCCTCCAGCAAGCCCTCCAAATGAACCAGCAGCAAATCACACAGTCGCTTCAAGCATCTCTGGAAGGCCAACTTAGAGTCGAACTTCGACCAGAAGGTGGACACGACGACGAAGCTGCTAGATGCCATGACAGGCATCTAGCACTGCGCAATCGAGCACAGTGTGAAAGACGTTTCCAAAAACTACGAAGAAGTCCGACGACGCTTGGATCTGCTGGAGGGCAAGTTCGCCACGGCCTCGTTCTCCACTACCAACACTAGCATCCGCACAACGGACACCGGGGGATCTGAAGCAAGACCGGCCCTAATTATGGGGGGATGGGATGCAGACCAAAGTGCTCAGGAAACTTTGAAGCTTGTCAAACAGCACGTGGCCGAGTTGAGGATTGACATCAACATGGCGGACGCTTTCGTCCCCGGCCTCCGCCGGGGGTTTGCAATCGTACCGATATCTGCCAGAGATGGGGAAGGGCAGGGCGATTTCCGAGCACGCATCCGTGAAGGCCTGCGCACGATCCGTCAGGGGCGTGTCGTCACCGGTCAAAAACCTCAAGGCGGGGATCGCTACTTTTGGGCAGCGATGAGTGAGTCTCCAGAGCGTCGCAAACGCGCTCAGTTTGCCGGGAAGATAAAACGCCTGGTCCTCGAAATGGAAGGAGACCGCCGGAAGCTTGACGTGGAGTTTGGCACAGGCAATGTATGGTACAACAGTGTGAAGATAGCCTCGGCCACCACTACCGCGCCACCAGCTGCAGAGACGGTAGGGGTCGGTTGGATCACCTTATCCACGCTGGCCCGCCAAATGGGGACTGCCCTCGGCGCTCCCACCGAGAAGTGGGAGGAGCTGAAGGGGCCACTCCAGTGACAACCGGAAGAAACGTTTCACCCCGAAGTCGCCACTGAAGCAGACGGCGGGGATATGCATGTACTTACATGGAACGTCGGGGGACTCAGCCCGGGCAGTGTCCTTCAACTTCTATGTGATCTTCGGAAAGAACGAATTCACCCCTTTCACCTGTCGTTCATCATCTGCCTCCAAGAGGTGATCGTGGAGACCGGGAAGCACACGCTCGAGCTAAATGATATACAACTCCTCTGTGGCAAACAAGAACTGGATTGGCGTGGCACTGGTATTGCTCACTCGGGGGACCTCCAGCACTACCAGCCCAAGCTTCCAAGGTGTGCGACAAGTATGGTCGTCGGATACGACAAGTACAGGGTCACGATCCTGTCCGGTCACATGCCACATCATGCCACCATTGCAGAGTGCAATGATATTCTTCACAACTGGGACACACAACTCCGAAACCCAGCCATGCGTGCAGCACTGGGATGCGATCTCAATGAGACCTTCACCCCGGGCGAGGGAGCGGACGTCCACTCCAACAGCGCCAGGGCGAAATCATCCTGACCTGGTGGGTAGCCAAAGCAGGGGAAGTACCTCCACAAAAACTTCGACTACTGGGAAGAACCGGTGGCTTGTAAATGGTTAACATACTTTACGAGGTTAGCTATCTGTTTACAAACAAATGTAAAGGGTTAAGTTGGTTTAGCTATAGGGGTTAGCATAGCTTAGAAAAGGGGGTTAGTCTAAGTAACATAAAGGGGTCCCTTATACGTCTAAACCTTCCAAGCCCTGAACATAAAAGCCTCAAACCCTAAACCCGAACCCTGCAAAACAGAAGTCTTTTTTTGCATGCCGGTCGTTCACGGTCTTCCGGCTAGAGAAACTCGTTTAAGGCCGTAGCCTGAGAACGGCTGCATTTCAGCAGATATATAATATACATGGGATGCCGTAGCCTTCTGCATCCCATTCTGCATGCCTGCAGCAAAAGGGGCCGTAGCCTGGAAGAAAGCTTGCTTTCAGCTTGCTGAGTTTTCAGACTCCTCTTCCTCATGCTCCTCTTCCTCAGCCACTTCCTGCTGGGAATTCCAGTTGTCTTCATACTCTGGAGAGGACTGCTCGGTCACGGTAGGGAGAGCATGCTCGTCCCCGGACTCCACGATATTCATATATTCGTACTCCCTCCATGCCCTTCTGTAGTTGCTGCGACGGACATCCCTCTCGTTGTACCACTTGATTGTGCATTTTGCACACCAGTGGTTCAGGTGTGCATTTTTCACTCTGCAGCAGCTGGGGGCACCGCATTCCGTGCATGGTCCTGCACACGGGTCCATCCTCAAACGGCGGCTGCAGGCTCCTCCCATTTCAAACTGCACGTGTGCAGGAGCTTATAAGGATGGCCTTGGCCGCGATGCACTCGCAGTCTGTTTTTAGAGTTCGCAGCACCTTTGGCCTTGGCCGGATATCACAGCAATCGCCCGAAGACAGGCGAACGGCAAGCTCTATAAAAAATATTATAGCATTTGAGCCACATGGCGGCAGCAGATTTCAGACATGATATAAGGCACATGACGACCCCCCATACATGCCCGATGACCCAGTGAAAACCCTTCGCATGCCTCTGTTTCCTTGCGATGCACTCGTGTGTCAGCAGCTACTTTGCTGCATGGTATATAATGATCTATCTGTGCAGCATGCTAACCGATTTTCAGTGCAGTGCTCATGTGTGCATACACACATAGAAGCAAAAAGTTGGTTGGCATCGCTTTCGAGCCCTGCACAGCTGGCTTAGCAGCCGTTCTTCTTCTTCCACAGCAGAATGGCCTCTCTGTGGGCCTCTCGCTGGCACTCCACCACTTGCTGCTCCGAGAAGCCTTGCTGCTTTGCCCACGTTCCGGCTCGCTTGTACATGCGAGAAGCATAGTTCTTCTGGATGCAGCCGTCCTCCCAGACAATTTGGAACTTCCGCTTTCCATGCGAGCCTTGGGCTTGCTGCTCCTTTGCTTTGCCTTGGCCTTTCTTCGAAGCACTCTTGTCCTTGGACTTTCCTTTGCCTTTGCCGCTGCCCTTCTTCTTTGGATCTTGGCCTTGGCCGTTCGTTTTTGTCTTGTTCTTTGCCAAGTTTCCTTGGCCACTCGCTGCAGCTGCAGCGGCCGGCTTCTTCAGAATCCCAGCTTTGCGATCTTTGAGCTTCTTGAACAAAGCTTCGTCCTCGAGATCGTTCTCGGCAGGGAGCGACTCCGTTGCTTCGGGTTCTTCGGCTGGAGGCAGGGCTAGCTGCAAGGCCGACTGTCGCCCTGGCGAGGTCTGCTGTGTCGCAGCCGAAACCGGCTGGGCTGGGTTGCCCAGAGCAAAGCCGACCCCGGCACTGCTGCTGCTCAGCTCGCCTCCTGTGATGGAGTTCCGTCCAGGGGTCCTGCAGCAGGTATACAAATGGAAAGGCATGCATGGGCTGTGTATATACAGATGCAAAACAAAGGAAAAGATAAAAGAAGCATGCAGTCCTCCTTTGCAAGATACTTGCGCCTGCAGCAAGCTGCAGCTCCCTTCGCCCACCATCCTGGATGGCATTCTGACCGCAGCCCTGGTCCAGCATTCTTTCCAGTCGCCCGAAGCACTGCTCCATGCGGCTCTGGAACTCGTTCGCATGCTGCTCAGACACGGCGGCCTGGCCATCTGGCCTCGGCAGCCTCTGCTTCTTGTTCTTCTGCAAGAGCTTGGAAGTAGATCGCATCGGAATGTGAGCTAGCCAGATCCCAGCCCTCACGTCTTTGCCCATGGGCGGGTCCTCAGCCTTGTAGGCTCGGTCGAACAGAGCCTTCGGCAAGCTGCTGGGGTCATCGGGATACGTGAGCAGGCCGACCTCAGTCGGCTCTGCATCCGTTTTCACGGATTCCCAAGATCTCTTGAAGACCTGGACCTCTTCGTAGATCTCTTCATATGTCGGCATCTGACTGAGCTCGCCGGCTGCCAGTGCCAAGAGGAAGGCCAGGCCTTTCTTGACCGTCTGTTCTGTGAGGTTCCTCAGGCCCAGCTGCAGATACCTTTTCAGAAGGATTTCCAGCCTTGCCGGTGCTGGCGACTTTTCCAGCATAGACCACTCAGTGACCGTGATGAAGTTTTCCGGCTTCAGCAAGGTCTGCGGCTTGCTTTCCTCCTTTCGCTTGTGAGGCGTATATGTAGTATCTGGCGGCGGTGTTGCAGCCGTGGCCGTTGCCAGAACTTTGGCTTCAACTTTTTCAAGCAACCGTTCTGACAGGGTGCTCTCGAAGCTCAGATCCTGGATCGTCTGCTTCATCTGCATGGCTTGCCCTAACGACAGAGAGCCAAGGCTCTCCAGCCGGGTGCACCAGCTGTTCATCAAAGCATCGACCGAAGCCTTGCTCCCACTTTGTGCCCACTCGGCCATAGGGCTTAACTCGGCCTGCAACTCTCGGGCCATCTCGCCGTGGCGAGATATATATAGCCGTGGCCAGAAAAGGAGAATCCAGAAGCCCCCTCTATAGGAGCCAAGATGCTACAACCCCACTACAGGAGCCAAAATGGCAGCTGCATGCACATCCATGGAAAAAGAGCATGGTACAGGTCGCCTGCATGTGTGTGTACGTGCAGATTCCCAAAATCCAGGATGCATGCAGGATCAATCTTTTTCATCGGAGGGAAGCAGGCAGGATGATTTGTCGTCGGCCTCCGGCCATGTCTCTCCATGTGCATGCACACAGAAAGTCTCTGCATGGCAGCAGATGCAGGCTGTCTATGCAGGAGCACTCCCCCACGAGGTCATCGCAAAGCAGAGAAGAAATGGAATGCACAACACTGTAGGCTTGCCCTGCCAGTTCCACGAATGCCCAGACAAGGGCACACTCCAAGCAACCGTTCCCTTCAAGCAGCACCGCATCGCCACGACATATCCGTTCCCCGGAGGGCAGCCTGACTTTTTCTGCCACATGAATCACTTGTGCCGAGGTCAGCTCCGGAATGATTTTGCGAAGTGCTGCCGCCTTCCTCCGAGAAGCTGGCTTCGGGTCCTGCAACTGCAGCATCGCTGCGAAACAATCAGCTCTTGCCAAGCAATATAGTTCTTGTCCAAGAACTTCTCGGAGAAGACCCTGCTCGTAAGCAGAAGTCTTCTTGATGTCCTCGGCGAATCTCTTGATAGTGCGATGCTTTCTTTCGTGAGTGTAGCACTGAACCATGAAACCCCACTTTTCCAGGTGCGAACCGAAGTGGAGAAGCCAATGGAACTTGGAATGCATGCGGTCCTGCCACTCAGCAGCATGCACTGCTTGCAAGAAATCGGAAACGTGCTTTCTCATCTGGCCGGGCGAAACCGCTCCCTCACTGCGAGCTCTCTGGCAGCATGCCACGAGTTTGTCCAGCTGCAAGAAACATTGGATCGCTTGCACTGCCTCAACATTTGCATTTGCCCTGGCGAGCTGCCTGAAGAAACAAGCCAATATTGGAGACAGTGTCAAGCCTTCGGAGGCCGTGCATTTAAAGGTCTCGGCTTCCTTGCATGCTTTTGCTCGGGACTGACCCAGCATCCCTTCGGCCTTGGCCGAGATGTTCCGGGGCAGGGTCCACTTGGCCACGTACTCGTCGGCGATTTCCCAGAGATTGGGAAACTGCTTCTGCAAAGCTTCCAAAACAAGCCAGGTCACTGTCTGGAAGACACCGGAGACCAGCAGGGTGTGCATGCTGTCGTGGCAATACTGTGAGACCGGCCGGACCAGCCATCGTTGATCCTCTTGTTGCAGCAGGGAACAACTATTATAAGTCCAGCCGGTGGCTTGCTGCCACGTGCTGAAATCTGCAGCATTCAGAAGCATCTTCTTCTCTGCCAGTTTAGCCATGGCCTCGTGGATGGATTGGTCGGTCGCAAGCGAAAGCTTACTTTCTCGGATCTCAGAGGAACCGACCACGGGGAGCCCGCTGCTGTGCAGGATATCACATCGTTGTGCTATTACATTCCTGCACAGCATGCACATGCGGGTGCCAGCATCCCCCTTGCAGCTCCATAGAGCTTTATGGGCACCACCGTCTTGAACGATCATTGACAAAACCACCCGGAAGAGGACGGGCGGACCTCCTGGTCGCTGCAACGATATGCACCCGTGCTCCAAATGGTTGGCCGGCCGCATGAATATGTCTCGCAGGATTTTCGAGATCCATTGAGAGACACCTGCTTCGGCCTTGGCCATCAGGCTGGATCGGAGCAGTCCTATGCATAGCCACGACTCCTCGTGCTGCAATGCATAGCTTCCAAGTTCTACGAACGAGGCATAGCAAGCCCAGATTTTTCTCTTCGTCTGGACTGCCAAAGGATTACCCGGCACGATCTCGTCCGTATAGAGGATCAGCCGCCATGCCGAGCTGGGGCTCGGAGGATTCTTGTCGATGCACGCCCAAAAATATTGGGCGAAGTTGCTGTCGGCATCCGAGATAGCAGCTTGCAGCAGAGCCCAAAAATCGACACTGGGTATCTGCAGCTCTGCACCATCTGTCTGCAAAAGTGACAGACGATTGAGGATCCTATTCTCTTTCAGGGGTTGCCAGGCAGCCTCGGCTATATGTTTTCTTTGTGTGAGTTCCGGGACACCCTCGTCCCGCAGAACTTTGCAAACTTCGGACAAAGCCGAGGCTGTGAGATGGGGCAATTTCCTTCTCAGAGCATTCACCTTCTGAAGCTTCGCTGGTCTTTCAGCAAAAGCATCGGTGCTGCTGGAGGCCATGGCCCTATATCACCACGGCACCGCACCAACAGCAAATGCCGGAACATCTCCGTGGAGAGTTCCTTCTTCTCCCTGTGCCTGCAGCAGCAAGCAGCCACATACACGCCTCCGTGGAGGCTTCCACACGCCTCCGTGGAGGCTCCCACACGCCTCCGTGGAGGCTTCCACACGCCTCCGTGGAGGCTTCTCGCATCCTTGGATGCTGGGTCTCCATGGCAACAACAAACCAAGCTACAGGACGGGTGACACAACAAATGGCCCCAGGAAGGGGTGCCTGTCTGCGAACACAACTGCACCAAACCTTGTCTGTGCTCGACTCTGGGCATCTGTATGCATGCTGCACGGCTGCTTGGGCCCTGCTTTCCGCTGCTCAGAGAACACATTTCGGCAGGCCCACAAAACCCTCAAAATATGATATGGAAAAAACTATATCATATGAAAACAAAGTCAATCATATGATATAGTAGAAACTATATCATATGAGGCCAAAATATTACATATGATATAGAAAAAACTATATCATATGATATCTGGCCCCACAGACTCATATGATATAGTAGAAACTATATCATATGGCAAGCGATGCCATCATATGATATAGAATATGCTATATCATATGGTTTCCTTTCAATATATATGATATAGAAAAAACTATATCATATTTTCTACGTTTGAATAAGGTTCCAATCTTAAGGATAACCGAAAATTATTCTTAAAAAAAAACCCCTAAACCCTAAACCCTAGAAGAGAAAAAAGCGCGGAGACACTCTTTTTTTCACCAGACGGCAGCCGGCACTCTGGTTTTTCGGAAGACGGCAGGCGGCTGCCGAGCTAGTACCGCTGCCGAAGCTCCTGGCAGGCGATTTGGAAAAGGCTCGTCACCACTTTCCCGTAGGAGCTCCCAGACCCTCCTTCCGGATCGTCCGGGTCCTTCTTGTCCGGCATTGGGACGTGATCATCGTCCCGTACCGGCGACTCCTGTCGCTTACGTTTGGCCTTAGCCTTGCTGCCCTTAGCCTTGCTGCCCTTCTTCTTGTCCTGGCCGGTCTTGCCAGCCTTAGCTGGCAAACTCCTGGGCAAAAGCTTCACCGGCTTTCGATCCTCTTTGTCATCCTCGGGCTCAATCAGGGAGATTGTCTCTCCTGCCCCCGGCTTTTTTCTCTTCTTCGTGCCCTTAGCCTGCTCAGGACGGCCCTTCTCAGCTTCGGTATGGGCCTTGGCCCCCGAGGGGCCGGAGCCGCCTCTCACATCACCATAGCCATATCCCTGGCCCTTGTCGCCATATCCCTGGCCCTTGTCGCCATATCCATGGCCCTTGTTGCCGGAATCCCGCCGCAGCTCCCACTTTGGGACTTCGGATTCCTCTTCGCTCTCCTCTTCCCTCCCGGGCTGCCAGTGCTCCTGGAACCGGCGCTTTGCCCGGCCTTGCAGCAGCCTCCTTGCTGAGCCCTTGGGCTATGTATTTCCAAGTTCGGTGAAACACCGACAATCGGTGCTGGCGACGGGCGGCCGCATGCTCCTGTATCCACCTCCAGCAAATGGGGCACTTTTTGGACGGGCCCTTGGGCCCGTCCGAAGGCTTGTTGTCCTTCTTCTCATCTGCTGCCTTCTCATTTGCCCCCTTCAATTTTTCATCCACCTCCTTGTCCTTTTTCTCTGATCTCTCTCGTTCGCTTTTCTTTTCATCCTTCTCCTTCTCTTTTTATCCTTCTTTCCCTTTTTTTTATCCTTCTTTTCCTTTCTGGCCTGCTCTTCTTCTGCCCAGGACTGGAGAGCTGCCTGGGATGCCGCGACCCTGGCTGTTGCAAGCTTTCTCTCCAGCCTCTGCCTGCCGGCGGCACTTATCGGCCAATCAGCAGTCTTCTCATCCAGAGAAGGGACTCTGGGCTTCGAGGCCGCAGCCTCCGAGGCCGCCTCCTTTGGCTTCGAGGCCGTAGCCTCCTCCGGCTCCTCCTCCGAATCCTTTTCTTTGTCCTCGGACTCAGTTGCCTCCTCGGAGGCCACAGTTTCCTCCTCAAAGTTCTCCTCCTCCTCTTTCTTGTTCTCGTTCTCCTCTGGCTTTTTGTTGCCATCCTCCTCCTTTTTCTTTTGGTCCTCGGACTCTTCGTGAGATCTCGACCGTAGTCGAGGATCTCGTCGTTCTTCTCTATCCTCTGAGCTCGGGCTCCTCCTCCTTCTATCCTGGTCCCGGTGCTTGGGCATGGCCGACGACTTCGCCTGGCCAGGACAAAAAAAGGGTTTATAGAGGATCGGGGAGGGTATAGGGTTTAGGGAAGATCCCTTAAGCCAGACTCTTTTTAGCACATGTATATATATATATATATATATATATATACATAGTATTTGGTGCATGCCGTGGCATGCACCCACGAGGAAACCGTGGTCTCCTCTCCCAAAGCAAAGCAAACCGTGGTCTGCTTGCTTTGCATGCTTGCCAGCAGATGCAAACAAACCTTGGTCTGCCTGCATTCTGCCGGCCAGCACGGTTGCCGAAAAGCAACCCATGCATGCATCACTGACTAAGCAAACCGTAGTCTGCTAGCCAGCTCTGCAGGAGACCGTGGTCTCCTCTCACAGACAGATGGCAAACCGTGGTCCACCACAATTATAAGGAGACCGTAGTCTCCCGGCTTTGTCCAGGAAACCGCAGTCTCCCGGGCTGCCTATAGTCTATAGTTACATATCTATATCTGTATATATGTTTCGTTTGAAAGAAACTTAAAAGGATCCCTTGCCTGGCCTCGTAAAAAAGGCCAGCCCCCATCCAAGGGCTCCCTACAGGAGCCCAAACAGCTGCAAACACCGGCACAAACTTCACAACCTGCACATGCGAGGCTACAAGTCAAACAACTGCATGCACATGAGACAACAAGGCTTTGCATGGTTTTCCTGAAGCAAACGAACCTTCAGTTCACTAGCACCCCAGGCTTCCTCCGTTTGGAGGACTGCCCCTGGCTTTTTGCTGCCCTTTTGGCAGCCGCAGTCGCCTCAGCCTCCTGCAGCGGCAGGGGATCCAAGGGCCGGGCCTTGGCCCCGGCTTTTTTGACAAGCGAATACCTTCTGTCGTCGCCTGTCCGTTGAGCCTGGCGGCCTTGGCCGATTTTCACGACTTTGTCCTTCGCAGCAGTTCCCTTAGGAAAGCTTTGCCGTGCTCTAGTCTGAAAAGACTCAGCAGTAAGCACGGCATTTTGTGTTGCTTCAAAGAACAATGCCATATCATCCAAGTGGACTTTGGGCACATCCGTGACATGGCCCGCCTCCAGGACACGGATCTCCTTTCCCATCCAGGTAACCTTCAGCACATTCTTTTCTGCTCTTGCTTCCCTGGAAGCACGGCGGGACAAGCGAGTCTTCGCTGCTTTTCTCGGAGAGCTGCCTGTTACAGACACTAGAGCAGCCTCGCTGTCTTCCCCGCCGAAAAGGCCAGAGCTCTGTTCTTTCAGTTTCTCTGCCTGCCGCTTGGACTGCTGCTCCTTGGAGGCATCGTTTCGGGAGCCCACGAGCGATAGATAAACATCGCTCTGGGACAACGATGACTTTGCCGGGTATTTTGGCAGTTTTATGCTATGCTGCTTAGAAAGCAGCTTGCACAAGCCCTGGCTCCATGGACGAAGTACCACAAACGGACCATGGTCCGTTGGTTCTAGCTCCTTGTCACCCACAGTCCAGCTGGCACCATCCAGCTTCAGGACATATACTCTTTCGATTACCAGCGGCATTGTACCTATATTAGCCTTGAGCCGAACTTTATGGAAAGATCAACAACACGTGCCTGCAAACCATCCTTGAATTCACACTTGCAAAAGCGCCAAAAAGTTCCATTGCAGACATCAACCTTGGCTCCTTTTCCCGGAAAACTCAGCAAGCGAGAACTGTCGAGTAACTCAAGAAGCCTTTCGCTTTCGCGAGGCAGCGGATCCTTGATCCAGCTCTTGGGCCGAGGCCCTCAAACTTTCGGCAGGCTTCGGCCTGTACAGGATGCACTCCTTCAGCGAAGCAGTGTTCTTCAAAATGGGAATCTTCCAGCCCTTCTCGTTCAGAAGGACTGTCGCCAGATTCGGCTCTGAGCCGACCGGGATCTGCCAGAAGGCAGATAGCAAACTTCCGGCTGCAGCCGGGGGTGAAATATACAAGCTTGTGCCCGAGGCCGAATGCCAAACCTCCACACTGCCAGCTGCCGGCTTTAAGCCAACCTTTGAAATCTGATCCGTGAAGGGGAAGATCGTCAGCTTGCCTGTCTTGGCTTTGCCCTCCAACAGACAGCACGTGGGATTCTTCAAAAAGGTCAACTCCTCTTCACAGTGCGAGTACTTCAGGAAATACTCGCAGCAGAGCTCGAAGAACTCTCCTCGGAGTCTCTCTTGGCTGCAAGCCTCCGTATTATGGGGCAGTCGGTCCACAGAGTCAGACACCACTTCGGGTGCATCTCCGCTATACAGATCGAAAAATTTCTTGAGCTCGCTCAGAGGCACCTCGACCTTCTTGTCCCAGCTCACTGGGCAAGACAGCGAGAAAGAGCCGTGGCTCTGGCCGATTTTCTCCAGCTTCCAAGGCCAGATGTCCTGATACTTCTGCTTGCCTTTGTACAGGTTCCCCTCTGCGAAGCCTTGCAGCTTCATCAGGAAGGCCGGGTCCTGCATGTTCTCCAAGGTCGCAGGGGCCGCATCAGACGGCCCATCTTTTGTAGCAGCAGCCGGTGTTGCACCGGCACTCTTGCCACCCATCTCGTGTTCGTACAAAGTCAGCAAATTGGCCAATGACCCGTGCTCAAGGCCTTCTTGCCCCGACTTCTCTTTCTTGCACATGAAGAGGGTGCTGCGAACCATCAGGCGACCGAAGCACTCAACTGCCTTGGCACGTGCACTTGCATCCGTCACATTCTGAGTGTGAGCCCAGGCACGAGCAAGAAGCTCCTCCCAATCCTTTACAGCATCTTCCATGCCTTTCGCACAGAGCCTGCTGACATCGCTCTTGCTCAGCAGCCGAGCCACACCGTCTACCACTTTTGTGGCTGTCAGGTTCGTCGCGATCATCGCAGCCCTTGCGAAAGCATGCGATCGCTCCTGCCCTGCAAACCGGAGGCCGGCGACCGTGGACATGAATTCCTCTCCCAATCTTTTGCTTGCCCCATATTTCAAGGAAAAGTCGTGCAAAAACTTCAGCAGAGGTGCTTCGGTTCCTCCTGCATAGAATCTGCAGAACAACCCGCAAGCGGCCACGGTCTGTGGCGAGGCATCCGGCACCGTGGCTGCAAGCATCCCAGTCGATGCACAAACCTTGCTCTGCCAGCAACTTTGCTCGGGTCACCATCGCCATGGCGAGCTCCAGCTCGCCTGCCGTTCTTGCAACTCCTTGGGCTGCATTCATGACTTCCTGAACGAAGAGGGCAGTACTGCATCAACTTCCGCTGACAGCACCAGCCACTCCCATCCATTATCCACGGCCTGCCGAAAGTCCGTAGACAATCGCTGCAACGTGAGCTTGCCGTTGTCCGACACCGTCTCTTGGTCCGAGGGACATGCTGCAATGCAGGCACGGCAAAATGCCGTAAAGTGACTGCATGCTAACGACATGTATCGCTCATCGCCTCGCACCTCAGCTAGCAGCCCTCCATTCATATCCACTTGCCGCTTGTTGAAACTAAAGGCCTTTTGGCTCAGAGCTCTATCCGTGGATATTTCCATGCAAACACTTCGCTTCAGCTCCATGGAGCTGAAGCCTACAGATTGCACTTGGGCCCCTGTCTTGTGAACTTGGGCTCCATTCAATCCTAACCCTGAGCGATTCGACGGGTGCACCAGGACTTGACCCGGCCGCAGCACCTGCCTGTAGCACTTCCTGCTCTCCTGCAGGATAGTTTCGATCTCCGTCCATCTCTCCAATGCCGGAGCATCTTTCTTCAATGCCTGCTCCACGGCCGTAGCCCAGGCAGGCTTCATCTTTTCCAAGTTCTCTTGAAAAAAACGGCTGCATGGCAACAGGATATGCATTTAATTGTCCGCCCTGCCCCCCCCCCCTGTATACATGCACCCTTGAAACACAAGTCATTTACGTGCCTAACATAGTCATTTCCCTATATAAGAACTGTACTTCAAAAAGTTATGTTAACTTAGCTAAACTTTAGCTAAACCCCCTAACCTTTGTAAATGTTTAACATACTTACACCACTTATGTAAACACTTAGCTAAGTCTCTTAACAGTTGTATTTGTTTATCACACTTATAAGTGATTTGCAATATAGATACAACCGGGTTGCAAGCTATTTAACAACATGCTTGCAATCTATATAAACACTTACAAAGCCACGGTTCTTCCCAGTACTGTACCCTCACACTACCCTTACAACCACGGGATGGCACCGCGTCGGCTCGACTATATCCTTACTAGGGGGATGCGAGGGGAAGACGGCGACGTTCTACCGCTACGACACCTAGCCACCAGCGACCACGATCCAGTGATGGCCATTTGTCGACTACGCCGCCCCATACCTCGACCAAAGAAACCGGCCAAGCCATGGGGATGCCGGCAGCCACGAGCTATTGGGGTGGTGGAGCAACTACTAGCCAACGGACCGCCCAGATCCGGAGACCCGGTCCAGAACATCGCGAACATTGCCGTCGCCATCACCAAGCCAGGTCGCGGGATCCGTGGCTTCCGCGAGAGTGAACACCTGCGGGGACTGCGACAAACCATCGTTCGCATGTTACCAGGGCCGGAACAACGACGGCAGTGGAAAGAAGTCCTCCGACTACGACGCCGGGAACATAGCAAATGGAAGGCAGGCATGCTCGCCAAGGCCGGCCGTGGGTTCTGGCACTCCAAAACAGTGTCGTCGACCGCGATGGACATAGCTCTGCCTGGGAACTTCGACTCCGAGAAGACGAGCGATGGCGAGCCACCCTTGTAAAGCACTTCGAGGGGATTTTCAACAAAAGGCCAAGTATCGAGGTGGCAAGTCGATTCACGACCATCATGCATGACCTGACGGTGAAGTGCAAGCACACCCGCTGGCGACCCTTTGCCGATGAGGAACTCAAAGCTGTGCGAAAAAGGTGGAAAAACGGCAAATCTTGTGGCATGGACTCCGTGTCGCACGAAGCCCTCAACATCATGCTGGACGATGATGCCTGGCGGGGGAGACTCCGGGAACTCTTCAACGACATGTTGTATGTTGGAAAAATCCCGGAGGCCATCGAACAGGGGATCACAGTCCTACTGGCGAAGGGGTCAGCACCCGCGAACTGGGGAGAGACGAGACCCATAACGTTGAGCAGCACCCTGTTGAAAACCTACTCCCAACTCGTGCTGCTCAACGGGTACAAGAACCGGCTCGTCTCCAGTGGTCTCGTCGTCATCGTCAAGGTGTAGAACTTATCCTTATGCTTCGAAAAGTCTGCCGCACCGCCCACGATTGGGGGATACCCATGTACATTGCAAAGTTAGACATCCGGAAGGCTTTCGATTCCATTTGCCAAGAAGCACTTGCAGAACAAGTCGCCACCGATGTGGGGGAGACAGGGGGAATGCCCTGGGAAGCGCGAGCATGGGTCAGATGTTCGTGATTCAGCAAAGCAATGGCGTTCGACAGGGGAGTCCCGACAGTCCCATTGCATTCGGTCGAATTGTTGCAAAAGAGCTTGACACGTCAATTATGGAGGCCAAACCGAGCAAGCCAACGATCGGGGAACCACCGCCCGAAGACGGATGCTGCTACATGGACGACTCCTACATTTGGTCCACAACCAGACGACACTTACAGCACATGCTGGGCCCTCCCACCACGCGGACTCGACATCCACCCAGACAAGACCGAGATCATCGACAACCAGGCTGGGGGGATCGAGTTCCAAGTGGCGGGGAACACTGTCGTGAGCAAGGGCCCTCAACATGTCATACGTGCTCTGGGAAGCCCGCTCTGTTTTTCGGGGAATCCTGCAATACTGATCGCGGAAATGCAGGCCCGCGGCCGCCGAGCATTCGGGAAGCACCGCGGTACCTTGATGGCAAACGCGCCTATCAAGGGTCCACTCCAGCTCCATACCATTTTGGTCAGACAGTCTGCGCTTTGGGCCTGCGAGACGTGGCCAAGCGTAGCCAACAGCCTACAACTCCTTAATGCACGTACCATGATCAAGTCCCCTCCCTCGCCGGGGGAGCAATGGGTGGAATGGCATACGCGCTCAATGCGACGAGCACGTGTTCTTCTACACCAATACCACATCGAGCGCTGGAGCACCTTTATACTCCGACAAATATGGGGCCTGCTCGGGCATGTCGCCCGAGGGGACGAAATCACGGCAAGCATGATGAGTTGGAGAGACTTGGCCTGGTGGAGAGTTGAGCAGAGTATCCCGCCCGCATGCGGCGGGGAGCGTCACGCACAAAGGTTCCATCCCATGCTGGATATAGAACGGCAAATCTCGGAGATTGCAGGCGATCAATGGCAGCGAATTGCGCAGGACCGAGCTCGATGGGCCACCTTGGAAGACGAGTTCCTGAGCCGCTTCGACCCACCCTGGGCTTCGGGGAACCAGCTCTCGCTCGACAACCTCGCGCCCAACCAGAAGTCGTGGTATACCGAACCAAGAGTCGCACGGGAGAAGCGGCGAAAAAGACTGAAAGGACCCAAGCCAACAGGGGGATGAATGACATTCTCGACATTGAGACGGGGAAAGACAGAGCTCCTGGACGCTTGTGATACTGCCGGTCCCCAGTCCAGAATGCCACAGAGTCGGTGTATAGCGAGCTTGCTTGAGACAGCGAGCGGACTGCAAAACACAACATGTACTGCATGGATGTGCTGACTGCAATGAAGCCACCTAACCTAGCAGAGATCTACTTTTACCTTTGCCTTTGCCACGACTAGACCGAAGCCTGTCTGCCCCAACTACGAGGAGTGCCTGAACAGCCCCACCCGAGACCTGACGCCTGCCGTCGAGAGGGGATTCACATGATGATGTCTTGCACAGCAACATGCAGAGCAATGTGACAAACCTGCCCGGCATGATCGTCCTCGCCGCCGCTTGGCCCGCACATGATGTTGTCCCTATATGACCATCTACATGATGCACGACATGAACATACCATGCTTTGACAACTACCTCAACGTACTTCTGCAACTCCTACACGACCGATATCCCAATACCGACATGCAGTCGCAATTTCGAGCGTTCCAACGTGGAAAGAGTTTCCCAGTGACACTCACCCGGAGGCTTCCTCACACAGTGAGACATGCACAAACAGCACAGCACAACCGGCGGCATACAAGCCATTCGGATGATCATCATCTGGCTTTGCCTGCATCAGCAGAGCCGAGGCATGCAGCCACAGCATACTCCTAGCGGACCGCAACAACAGGGACAGGCAACGGGGGAACACGCCTCCGCAGGCATGCAAGCCCCCGCCGTACCACAGAACAGCGGGCAAACAACGAGCGCTGGAGCTGCACCACAAGCACAGCAACCGCAACTACAAACCGGGGCCGGGGGAGCCATCCTGGCACTACCGAATGCCCCTTGGATCCCGCCATACGTGGCGACAGCGGGGACAGACCACCACCCACTAGCACCCACGAGCTTCCAATGGCAAGCAAGCCACCCGTCGACAGGCGGGGCCACAGTGACGTCCTGGGGCGGCTACACGCTGACACCGCAAGCACAGATTAACATCGGGGGGAATGGCATCCCGCAAATAATGATGCCGCCGCCACAGTACCAGCTTCAACAGCAACCACAAGCCCACCACGGGGGTTTCCAACACCAGCCCCTCCCCCCCCCACAACAGCCGGCACCAGGGGCATCATGGCAACAAGCAAACAACATTGCCCCCCCCTATCTATTGATATTGGGGTGGGGGCGGGGGGTCGAGTCTATTCTATTTCCCATGGGTCCAAACCCTACGTGGGGGGGGGGGCTTGAAATAGGAAGAAATTAGTGCGGCCGGAGAGAAGTAGTCTGTTGGTTTTTCTTGCATGGCAGACAGCATGGTCGTCGCTTGCGCCGAGGGCAGAGTAGGATGTAGGCCACGGGTAGGCCACGAGCATGCATGAGCAAAGCATTGACACATTATCTGTACACAGAAATTCGGGAGCCAACATGACGGCAGGGGGCCAGGGTATCAAGCCACTATGACGGCACTGGGTTTGTAGTATTATAGGGCAGGGCGCGAATGAATATTAATTAAGCCACTAGTACGGCACAGGGGGAATTAAGTGGTAAGCCACTTTAACGGCAGTGGGATTTTGCGTAACCTAGCCCGCACTTAAGCGAATGGCAGATGATTCACGACTCGCATTGTAATCACTCGTAGCTTCCTCTAGCCATGCCGGACCATTGGAAAATTGTACAGACTGGTACACGGCTTTCGGGACCCCAAGCTGGCCAAGCCATCTGCCGCTTTGCAAAATTACTGCAGGGGTTGGTTATGTCTGTGCCTCCCCCCTGCCCTTCTTTCCATTGGCTCGAAGCATTCCTCAGCCCAGGTGAATGGCGGCACGGATCGCGATCATTTCGCTCCTGGAAATTGGCGGCGAAGTTTGGTCGGGAGCAGGGTTTGGAGGTGGGGAGTGCAGAGAATCCGCAGTCCAGGGCGGGTTCGGTTGACCGGCAGCTCCGGGTTCATTTCCCTTTGTTTTTGTCGGCGACAGGTGCCTCCAACGATGCGGGAATGGCAGCGAGCTGGACACCCAGACATATAATCTTCGGTGATTGGAAAAGGGGAAACCTGCAGCCCTAAATGCTCTAGGCCACGTAATCGCATGTCAAGACATGTCAGTACACATATGCTTTCCGGTCGAGGCCCAGTCAGAACCTTCGATGGGGATTGCGACGGAGGCCACTGTAGTTCATTGTGTGTTTTCGGGATGGTGTCGGGAACTTGGGTTTGAAAGGGAGTGAATTTCGTGGGAGCAGAAGCTTGGCAGCCCGATAGTGCCTTGGGTGCAGGCTGTGGTTCCGCTGCGGGATGATCCAGAGGCACGTCAGGTGTGTGGCCTCGGTGCGTTAGGCAGTGACAGTGGTGCTGTGCAGGATCAGTCGGGAGAGGTTTCAGTAAGCCGTTGTGTTAGGACTCAGTGAATCCCCAAACCTTAAACATTCGTGCCAGGGTCCAGCTGGTGAGGACAAGCGGCAGGAGGTGCGCTGGGGATTGAGGAATTGGGGGTTTCGGGCTAGGGTTCGTCTGGCGATTGCAGTCCTATGAGTGAGCGGACCGATCAGTTGGGAGAAGTTGGAGTAAGAGCCAGTGTGTTGCTACCCGATGGACCCAAATTGATCCAGCTCCCCAGTCTTGGCCTCTCACCAACGCTTGGCCCCTGACCTCAACCCCCGTCGCCGTGATGCCAGGATCCATCGTCGGCATCAGAACCGCCTCCTCTCCAGAATCCTGAGGTGCGCCTCCATTTTGACGGGTTGGTCGGGGTTGCGGGTTCTGGGTTGGTGGGTTTCGGGGGGTTGTGGCTTCGAGGTGACTCCCTATAAGTGTAGTGCCGTGCAGGATCAGTTGATTGATGCTGGGGTTGGGATTGTGCTGCCTGCTGACAACTTCCCTCGCTCCGGAGATGCAGTGTTTGGCCCCAAGTGCACATTGTCGATCCTGTAGGTCTGAGAAATATACAACTGGAATTCCCGGACAAGCTTGCTTGAAGTTCATCTAAAGTACGAAACCAAACTGTGAAGTAGTCGCTATGGCCTATCGATCATCTAGCTCTGAGCTTTCCTTGCTTTGAATGGCATCCCTGCTGTGATACAAGCTTGCTTATGGCGCCGAAAGCCATGAAGGTGATGAAGGCGAAGAATGCCATGAAAGGGATGAAGGCGACCGCAGCCATGAAGGCGATGAAAGCCGTGAAGGCCATGAAGAGCATGCCGGCGATGAAGCCCGCAACGGCCAAGAGGCCAGCGATGAAGGCGATGAAGGCCATGAAGAGCATGCCGGTGATGAAGGCCATGAAGAGCCAACCCAAGGCCAAAGCGATGAAGGCCATGAAGAGCCAACCCAAGGCCAAAGCGATGAAGGAGCCGATGCCGTGGGTGCGAGGACTGCACTACAGCGAACGTCAGAGACGGCTGAAGCTCTACGAGATCAGCTGCATCAGAGAGGATGGCTCGGAGATCAACTCGATGACACTGTCTGACAACAACACGTTGAGGGATCTGGTGGCAGCGGCCGAGGACAAGGGCTGCGACAGCCATTCGTGGACGGCTCTGGCGATCGCTGTAGTGATCCGACGTGAGGAGGACAAGGCCACGAGAAAGAACGATGACAGCCAGAACGATGATGACACAAACGATGCCACGAGAAAGGACGATGACAGCCAGAACGATGATGACACAAAGGACGACAGCTCCGACAGCTCGAGCTAAGAGGCAGCGTTTGCAGTGACAGGACGTAGCAGTAGCAGACAACACACACACAGGCACACACACACACACAGAGTCACACAGCAGCAGCAACAGCAGCAGCAGCACAGCAACAGAAGCAGCAGCAACAAACGAGGGGTGAGTTTTCTGTCTAGGGCCAGGGCTGTGTGTGCCAGGTAGATGCAACCAAGACTAATCCGGGTTCGCAGCCTAGGCATAGGCCGGGACATAGCGGTTTGGATGGATGCTTCAAGGGGGACTGGCACACACAGCCGTCGCGAGCTCGTCAATCTTCGATGTTGGAAACAATCGTGTGACGTGCTTTGGGTTTTTGGGGTCCCGAGTCCCTTTCACTCCCTGGATACCTCCCCGCCTCCTTCAGACTTCAGGGCACCCGAACCCCATTGGACGAGTGGTAGGAGTGCAGGTGATCCTGGTTCCGCTTCGGGGTTTCGGGCTTTGGGGCTGTGTTGTTTCGGGCTTGGATGTTCCATTGACTTAGGGCCCAAACCCCCGAACGCCGAAACCTTGAACTCCCGAACCCTAGCGCCCAAACCCGAAATGCCCAACACTCCGAACCCCGAACCCCAAACCCCCAAGCGACAACCCCCAACCCGGAACCCTGAACTCAAGGCCTCAAACCTTCCCTTCCTCGGCATTCTTGCTCCGGCCAGGTTTCGACTACGACTAGTGCTGCCTCGGCCGGGACCTCATTGGGTGATCAGGTCGTGTGGTTCGGGGCTTGTGTCGGTGCTCGGGAGGTGACTGCATTGGCCGCGATGGACGGCTGTGCGGAGCATTTGGTCGCCGCAGTCCTGGTTTGCGGGTGCTCTGGGATGGCGACAGCTGTGTATCTCTGCTTCTGCGTCAGGTCCGTGACGAACATCCACACGACCGACTGGGACACATTGCTGCTGCCTCAGATCCCTGACTTCGTGCTCCGGTACTTGAATGCATTCTCTGCCTGCGACCACCTGGGAGCTTTCGTCATCAGAGGAGGCCTCAGCACATCCTACTTTGACGACTGCGGCCTGGAGCTTGGATTCCCTGGACTTGGCCTTGACATGCCTTGACTGTACTGAGTGCTGCACGTCTCAGGTCTGTGCCGAAGGCGAAGCTCCGGGGACTGCCTGGACCTTGGAGCTGCATCCCCGCCCTTTGGACTTTCCTAGTGGACGTGCAGGACCGGCAGAACGCCATGGACGTGGATCCGGCCGTGCTTGTGGGCAAGGAGTTGCGGTGTTGCGGTCTTTCATCGTGAGCGCCTGGCCCTGCTTGTCAGGATGTAGCTCCCTTGACTTCGGCTGGGGCCTCGGCCTCAGCTTTGGCCCCGTTGCTCCCGCCTCCATCCTCGCCCTGCCTTAGGTCCCCGAGTCGTTGGATGACACGGAGACTGTGGTGCCGGCCTCAACCACTTTGCTTTGCCCTTTCACCCAATGGCTTGGGAACTTGTTGCTTGTCTCGGCCAACACGCTTGGGCCGTGTGCGATGGTTGCGGTTCTGGTATGTCGGGTGGGTGGCTGGGTCTTGAATGCATTCTTTCCTGAGGTTCCTGATGCGCCGCCCGACACCAATGATGCCAAGGCCGGGGTGGGTTTACAGCGGTGGCTTGATTGTTGATCACGGACTTGTGTGGTGTTAGCAATCCTTGCCTTAGGTTCATGCGAGTGGGAAGTGCCAGGACGCCGAGGCTTGTATTGTCCGGACTCCTTGGTGTGTGGTCTTGCATGCTGTGGTAGAGTGGCTCCGGACAGGCCGAAGTTCAGGCTGGGGATTGCCTGGCTGAGGACAAGGTCGGCCCCCCTCCCCCCACCCTAAACTAGGCCTTCATCCCTTACACCTTTGATCCCTGCCAGGATTCACATCCTGGTGCTTCGGATACTGCTGGGCCCTCGGGTCTTCTGAGGTTGCAAGGATTTGGTTGCGTCGGTTCCTACGTGCCGGTGTGCCATTGCTGCTCCTTTGAGGGTGGTGGTGCCGCGGTTGAAGAGAAGGTTGGGCTCCAAGGGTCCTCGTGTGAGCCCATATGAGCCCATGAAACCTTGACCTTAGCCCTCAGGTCCCATCGGCTGATCACGGTGATCATGGTGATCGTGTGGCCGCTCGATGCTCAGCTTGATCCTTCCCTCTTGGGTCTGTGCTCGGCTGCCTTGACCTGTTTCTTTTCTGAGTGGTATGGCTGCACGACTTGGGCTCAGACCTCTGTTGCGCACTTCCGGTATCTTCTGGTGTTGCAGTTGCCTGCTATGGACTCGTGGTCGTCGAAGACAGCGACGGCGATCGCCAGCCCGGTGAACCGGGAGTCGGCGGAGTCACCGGGTGACTGCAAGATCACGGCCGTGATCCTCGCGGAGGGTCAAGCCAGAGCATTGATTCCCTTTCCACCGCCACAGAAGGTGGATGCCAAGGCATCAGGCTCAGCTTCGTCGTTGTCCAACATGCCCGACCGTGTCGTTTCCTGGAGTCCTTTAGATCGTGTCTTGACCCCAGAGCCAGAGGACAGAATCATCTGGAAGAAGCCAGCTGCCTCAGACCTGGTATTTCCTCCGGACATGCCCCACCGCGTTGTTTCCTGGAGTCCTTTGGATCGTGTCCTGGCCCTAGAGGGCAGAAGCATCGGGCAGGAGCCAGTCATGGCACCATTGCACTCGAGCACACACACGGCGACGGACATATCTGGCAGCAAAGCGACACCTCCTCGCAAGACCCGCTCAATGCCTTACACGCCGTTGCATAAGACGACAGCGAGGCCGACGGGTCGCAGCAGTGGTCACAGCCGTGTGCAGAAGAACTGATTCCGGGCATTCTATCCTGACACGGGGAGTGTCATGGACTTTGTCTCAATCAGCACCGGGGATCGCGAGAGGTTTCAAAAGGTGCACATGTGAGCTGCTGTGTGCTAGGGTCAAGCCCGAGACGGACTCGTGAGGTGGTGCTAGTGCTGTGATTTGTTGCTTGCTGCTGTTGCTTCGCACTAGGTGCCGACTGCTCAAGCTCTGCTGCTTCTTGTAATTCCTGCCTGCTCGGAAGGTCCCTGAACAGCAGATGCTGGTCGTACCTCTCGAGGCGGGCGGTTGGCGGTATGATCTAGCAGCCTCGCACGTGTTGTGCTGTGAGGCACTCGAGCCCCCGCTTTCCGTGCCGACGTTGTTCTACAAGGTTTGGGCATGGATCGGTTGTGTTGTTTTATGCGAGGCGGTGTTTTCACATTTTAGGCAGACCTCCGCTCCTTCAAATAAGCCGTGCTACGTAGCCCGTGTCAGGACCTGGCCGAGCCTTTGCCGCTCCAGGACAATGCTGTGGACCAACCAGTGAAGGCGGGGCTAACGGAAAACCCGCGGCCCTGACCGTCCTTAACCTATCTAGACCCATCGCAGCCCTACACGATCCCATAAGCATCCCTAAGCATCCCTAAGCCATTGGCCCCAGGAGTCTACATTATCGGATGGAGCAGCCGCCCACGAGAAGCAGCCGGATAGAGCAAAGCAGGAGTTCCTGCTCCCGATCCCCTAAGCTCCAAACCCCTAAGCCTAAACCTTAGTCTAGGGATCTTCGGCAGCCCTGCTCCATGGTCTGTGCTAGGAAGCCGCAGCATCCCAGGTTCGGTAGCCCGAAGTGGTTGGTGACATGGCAAAGCAGGACAAGGACCTGTGGCATCTGTGGCTCCCCTAGTCTGCCAACAGCTAGAGTCCTTACCGACGCCCACATAGCCCTATAGCCCATCCACTGAAGCCATCTCAAGCAAGCCCAACGACAGCTCGGCACCCCCAGTGCTGCACAGGATCAGCGACCTTTGGCGATCGTGCAGCCAGCCGATGTGGAGAAGGTGCAGCAGCCCGCTGAAAGTAACTTCTGCGGTTGCATCTGTGTGTGGCTCGGAAATCCAAAGTGGCTGCCGGAGCCCTGAGGGCTGACGTCCTCGTCGAGGCCCTTGCCTCGAGTTTCCTGCTCAGCTACCAGAAATGCATGAGCAACAAAAGAAAGAAAACGACGAGCGCCTTTGTCAAAGAGTCAGCGGTTCAAGATGCACTTTGTACGTTGGGACACACCAAAGAGGTCGAGGCAATGCTGCGACGGTTCTGCGTGAACCCGGAGGCATTGCCAAGGGGCAGGGTGCTCCCCAACGGGGTGGCGGAATCGTTCTGCTCGCACCGCACCGCTGAGCACCTGAAGGAGGCCGCCTCCCGGTGCTTGAGTTTGCTCCGGGTCCAGGGACATGCTGACTCGCGGCCTTTCCTTGTGATGGATGAAACAGTTTGGTCGCGAAATTACGTTCAAGTGACCGGTTTGCGAGGAGGCGGTCCAGTCATTGTGGGAGGATGCTGGAACGAGCAGGCTGAGTTGGACTTCTCTTGCATCCCGGCGACTGAGGAGGTCAGCATCCAGACCCTGCCGAAAGAACATCTTGCCGCCTTGACACAGCACTTCGTCATCAAGCGGCCTGACAACGGGAGGTACATCCTGGACTTGCTCTGCGTGCCGGGCGCCCACACCGGCTCCTCGCGAGAACTCCTACGACTCAGTGGGCAGGTGCTGGAGGACCGGGTTGTGTTACACATGTGCTGAGGTGTAGGTCCGCATGTATCTTTGTTGCAGCATGTTCTAGCTGTTCTCGAAGACTCCTGAAGCATTGTTCCGGAGGCAGTGGTGCAGGCCAATCAGCTTGTGCCGGCATTGGGCCTGGCGTTTGACTGCGGGACAAAGAACTCGGATGCCAGCAAGGCTCTCTGTGGCTTGTTGAAGCCAGAGGAGTTGCAAGGACTCCCATTTTGGGAGACGTGTGTGCTGCGAAAGCATGATCAGATCGGCTTCTGGCCGTTCGGGGAGTTGGTGTGGAGCCAACCAAGCACGGGCAAGGAGTTCCGCATGTACGGCAGCAATGGTGGATGGCACGTCCAAAAAAGGTACAGTTTGGCACACTGCTCGGGATGCCGGATGGTGGTGCACGGCGATCTATGGATGTCCCTGTCGCCAATGGCACGGTGCGACCTGGGCAGCAAAGCTTTCTCCTGCAGCGACGTCCAGTCTGACATGCAGGCCTCGTGCCGACTGTCGCCTAGTTTCGCCCCCAGAAGCTTTGATGGTCTAGGCCTTCATGTACACCAACTGTTGGGCGGACTTCTGGCCTCGGTGACAACGGCCAGCAGAGGCTTCTCGAAGCATGAACTGGCCGCCAACAGCTTCTCCCTGTACTTCATGACCATGCTTCATGTCTGCCGCAACTACGGCCGATTTCGAGACGATGCTCGGCAGCACACCTTGAGTCTCACGACGGCGAGAAACATCGCCTACCTCGCTGGCCACTGTGTGGCGATGTGTCAGTCGCAGCACGAACACCGCCAGCTCCAGGAGTTGGCGGTGGAACAGCACTTCTCGCGCATCAAAGGCTGCTACAGGGGCACACCCGCAATCAAGGATTGTGTGACAGGCATCGCTGTGGATGCGATGAAACAGCTCCGAGAGCTCAACAAGCTTCCCTCCGACCACAACTTCGACGACCAGGCCCCCGACCAGGACCGGGCTGGACTGCCGATGTCTGAGCTCGTGGGCATTGCAAAGCAGGCCCTTGCTGCCTCTTGCCAGCTGTATGCCTGGATCTCCATCGACTGCACCGTGGACGACATCTACAGCCACTTCCGAGCGTGGTACCCTGCTCGAGGACGTCTGTGGTTTGCTTCAGGGCTTAGGTTGATGCAATAGGTTGATCGTGCATGTCACTCCGCCTGCTAGGAACCAAGATGCTGCTGGCGCCGGATGACCCATCGGAGCTCGGAGATGAAGAGGACGCTTTGGAGGTCTTGGCTGAGGAGGGCCTGGCAGAGATCAGGGACTTAGCCGTGCTGCAGGGTGTGGACGCCTCCGTCCTCGAGCAGCCTCTTGATCTCTTGCATCTCGTGCAGGACCGAGCGGCCCAAGCTGAGCAGCTCGAGGTGCTGCTAGACGAGGCCGAGGGTGGCGAGCCATTGCAGCAGGTGTCCGAGCTGGAGGATGTTGAGGTGGAGCCGGGGCTGTATGCTCACTTGGTTCCCGAGGAGCCTGCAGCTGTGCGACAGCAGCCCAAGACTTTGACACATATCCTTCAGCAGACCGCTGCAAAGAAGGTGCCTGAGCTAGATCTGGGTGAGGATGAAGCCGCAGGCGCTTTGGCCTGTGTGAAGAGAGCAGCTGCGATGCTGGGCCCGGTGAGACAGTTCTGCCGCTTCGTGCGACTTGAGGAAGGGAAGCTGTCTTGTGCGATGCTGGAGAAAGACACTGTCGGCCTGTCCACGTGGAACAAGGTCGAACACGAGTTGGCTCTGGCTAGGAGAGTTGCCTCCCTGCAGCAGACCCGGCTTTCTCGAGCAGAGACGTGGGCAAGCATCCAAAGGAACTTCGTGGGCCAGATCGTGAAGAGCAGCGGCAGCGGCGAGGCAGCGGCCTTGAAGCCTGTCTCGGAGTTCAGGCCTCCCGTGGACGGCGAGAAGGAGGAGTGGCAGATCGTCTTCGTTCGGGGCCAGAGTGTCAAGCAGACGGACAAGGTGGTCGTGGCGGCTGTGATGACCATCTTTCGAGGCAGTGTGTGCCAGAAGGGCAAGGCAAAGGGGCGAGTTCGGACAGGAAGGCCTATGTGCTCCAGCATGCCTTTCGCCTGCACGAGAATGGTGCATGCAGTGATGATGCGGAAAGTGGCTGAGCGCACCTGGGATGCGACAGGTGCAGATGTGCCCCTGGTGTTTGATCCGACGGATGTTGTGTTGGGTGAGCCGGCCGTTGAGACACAGTATGCATCCAAGCATCGGCTCAGGGTGTGCTTGACAGCACAGGCGGACGAGGCATTGGCCAAGCTTTCCAGCGACTCGTGCAAGCTGCCCCGCATGCCGGCGGCAGTTCCGGCAGAGGAGTCCGAGCCAGCAGCACCCAAGGACGGGGTTATACGGGGCTCCTTTTTTTCGTTAGGTAGTTTTCCAATGTTTTGCGTTCGGCATACGATGGCATATGTATCCGCGAAGGACTCGACGATCACCTTCAACGATCGAAGCTTTCCGAAAGCTGCTTTGCGGAAGAACATGGATCAGTTCATGCGTTCTCTCGCGACGTCCTACAAGGAGGTACCTGTGCTCATTAATTTTCTTATGATATCTTATGGTACGAGAGGTTTAGGTAGACTTGGGGACTAGGCCTGGTTTTGGAGGTTTTCGAGTTCACGATTCTTCTAAGGCCGGGGCTCCGTTCTTGGATGAGAACGGGAAGGTGCAGCTGGCCGGCGGTGCGTTGGAAGATTATGCAGAGCTGAGCAAGCGGGCGCCGACCATGCTCGAGAAGGAGTTTGCTGGGGCGAGGGGGTGGACTTTTTCGCAGAAAGTCCATAGCTTCTTGAAGCAGATGATGCCGTCTGAGAACACCAGCACCTCGGACTGATTTTTTCTGCAGTGTTTTTTGCATCCGGCATTTTCCTGCACTCGGTTCGCGGGCCGAGGTGCAAGCGGAAATGTCTCGACGAAGCGTGTGAAGAAGGACCCGCCACAAGCACTAAACCCTAGACCCTAAACCCAAGCCATTTCCCAAACATCCTGGCAGGACTTCTTGCGGATGGTCGTCTCGGCAACGACGCCGAGCTTTGCGTTGCCAGCATCCTAGGGATTCTTAGGTCCTAGGGGTTCAGGTCTTAGGGGTGCTTTTAAAGCTCCGTGGGCTACTGCAGGGTCAAGCACCTCAGCACAGACTGGAAGCAAGGATGCTGGGCTTCGCTAGCTGTGTTGGTCTCACATGGTCTCACCGAGTTCTAAAAACAAGACTGGTCAAGCCAGCGAGTGACAAAATGAAGCCGCCCGCCGAAGCAGTGATTTCACGTTGGCGTCCATGTCCAATGCGTGTTTTGGGACGTGGGGGGGGGGGGGGACGTCCTTCGACCAACCCTAATAGGATAAAAAGTCTATTCCCGACCCCCCCCACGACCCCCCCCAGATAACTAGGGGTAATCAAACAACCAAGGACAGATGCAGCTGCCGCAACAACAAGCAGCCCAACATCCACCCACCGCAGCAGATGGAACATCCGGGGGAGCTCCACAAACGCCGTACGCAGTCCAGCCCCAAGCAGCCTGCCAACCACGACAGACAACACACCACCACCAAGGCTACGGCACCGTCAGATTCGCGCCACCATACGACCCAGCAACCGACCCGTGGCACACTCCACCGGACAGCCCCCCGCCGACACCACACGGCCAGCCCTGCCACGCAGACCAACAGGGCTCCACGCCGAGACAGCAAGACCCACAAGCCGCGACCACAAACAACGGAGGCGGCACGCAGCAAGGGACCCCCACAGCCCCAGCCCAAGCCGGCAGAAGCGGGGTCCTGCTCCTCACACAGCAACCCCCGCGAGGGCCATCCCGGCAAATCGCGGAAGGATTGGCCCAGCTGTTCAAAGAACAACAACAGCAACAAGCCACGCAACCCGCTGACAGCCCCCAACGGACGACCTCCCCAACCGACGAGCTTCCGCAGCCTGAGCAACACTCCGACCCCCCAGAAGCCACAGCAGCAGACTCTGTACAACTGCAGTCGACAACGTCGAAACATGGGGGACAGGAGCGCCACACACCGCAGCTCCAGGTGACACGGGGAACACCCCGGACGACGCAGTACCTGCAACGGACGACACACAACCAGCCGCAGGCGAGGAGGAAGTGGAGCCGGCAGACCAGGAAGATGACAACTGCGGGCACGGGAGCCAGCGAGTTCAGAACAAGGCCTGCAAATACGAGTGGAAGCAGGCAAACCGGCAGCACCCACAAGCAAGACCAGCACCGCAGGGCCAACAAGGCCCAGGCTGGGGGATACTTTACAAACAGCAGCGGGATCGACACCCCCAGCAAACACCGACTCCACAACGACACCAGACCCAGACCCCCGAAGTCGACTGGGCGGACCTACTCAACCGCGCCAACCTCCCACGGGGGACATACGGGGCTCCACGACCCACGGTCACTTCGGCCGATAGCCACCACACAACACCCACCGGACCACACACAGACACTGACACCAGCAACATTACAGCCCCCGCAGAAGCAACAGAAGCAACACAGGACCCCACCGGCGCCGACGACCATATCACACCAAGCCCCTCACCTGATGACGCACAGGGGGGACCCACACCCAGCAACGAAGCCACAACGTCGTCCGCAACCCCCCAGACGTCCCAAACCCAGCAACGACCGCCCTGGGAGGAACAACTCATGCAGGAGTGGGTCGATGCGCAAACGACAGACCCGATCAGCCCACCGGATTTTCCAATCCAACCCCCCTATACACAGGGGGAACTGCTGCCCCTGCGGGACAAGACATGGCGAATTGAAGTCGTCCGAGCTCCCGACGCACCCGACAGACCGAGCAACCAACGCGGCCTCTTACCACGTATAGTACGAGCAGGAGCCGAGGGGACAGCAGTGAGCGCACCACCCTTCACGGAAGGTGTGATTGGATTCTTCACGGAGCTCACGCCAGAACCATGGCTCTAGGAGATAGAACATGCACCAGCGCCAGAAGATCACATGCCGGGGACCATGCTGTTAGCAGCAGGTGATCGTCTTCGCTTTGAGCAGGTCGACGGCGAATGGAGAATAAAGGTGGAACATCTTAGTTCCAACCCACCCGAAGCGGTCCGCAAACTGCGGGAAGCCAGCCATTCCACGCAGCGCCAGCAGCGAAGCACACCGACGCAACGCAAACCACCACCACACACACCACTCCCAAGCATCCCGGAAGCAGGGAGAAACGGTGCCGGCACCGCAGCCACACCCGCCGAGCGTGACCCTGATGCTAGCTCGTCCCACGAAGCGCCGCGCAGCTACTACCCGCCGGTGCGGAAACCGGAAACCGAAGACCCCCCAGACACAACCGCAACCTCCAGCAGCCAAGGGACCAAAGAGGCCACCCGCCAACAAGCAGACCCACCGCGAGCCCAGCAGCCAACACAACCCGCATTCGTGGACAGACGACCATTACGCAGAGGACAAGACTCAGGAGGGGACCGCAACCCACAACCACCACCACCACAACCACAGCACGGCAGACCGGGGGATACCCCACTCGCAGCCCAACTCCGTGACGGGAGACAGATCGGCCACCCGCCAGGACCCGAACCCCATGAAGATGACCATGGGGATGGTGACGCAAGCAACCTCACGCAGCATACTATCTTCTCGGCAAGCCTCGAACAACACTCGCCACCACCCACCGACAACGAGGGCGCGGGCACGCCACCCTCAACACAACTGCAGCCGGAAGCAGCGACCCAACCATACGCCATAGCAACTGCAGCCACCGAGCCACAACCCACGACACAGTCTCACGTAGCTGCCGACCACCCACCTACCACACCAGGGGACATGAGCCCGCCCCTAACCATGACATACGAAGCAGAAGAACAGTCAGCGGCAGCCGGCAACAACCAACAACTACCAGTCGAACCACCAGCGCGTGAGCGATCCTTGGAACGGGTGGAACGGCACCTTACCGAAATCCGCAGACTCGCTGAGCAGTACCACACGACAGACGCAGCAGCAAACATCATGTACAACGCTAACCAAGCACTAGTCCACCTTCTGGTTGACACACCAACTGCAGAAGCCCTGGAAAGCTCTGACCTTCCGTTAGGGGGAACTGGCGGGGAACAGCGGCCGCCTACCAATGCACCCGCGAGCTCTCACAGCAGGGGGAGCGCTGATGTAGCAACGCTATGCCGACAGCAAGCATACACAGCTGCAGCAGCACTCATCATCATCGCACGACAGCAACTAGCCGATGAGGGGAGATGTGTCACATATGGAATGCTCGAACCACACATAGCGGCCCTCATGTCATGGATGCAGACGCTGCCCATGGACGACATCTCCATGAACATCCAGCTACCGCCGATCCTCACACCGCTGCGGGGGATCCTGGAACATGTGCTTGATGGCACGGCGGGAGCAGCAGACTGGGCCACCCTGGTTGCGGTCGGGGAAGCGATGCAAGCTGTGTGCGCTGGTGGGACCCTGGTCCATCCGGCCAATGGTCGCAATGGAGAATGGGGGGACAGAGAATCCTCTAATGGACCGCGGGGAAGGCAGTCCCGCATGGCGACAGTCCCTTCTGCTCCTACGTCACCTCTGCGAATCCGTCGACCAATGGCCGGGGGAATGTCTCCTTCAACTACAAGAAGCTGCAACGCGGTTGGTGCGACAAATCTCCGCCCGCATCCCGGAGAACGAGCAAGGCCTTCCCGCTGGGGGGAATGCGTGGTGGGAGAGTGACCGCCACCATGGCTTGGGGGACAACCCGTACTATGGCCTCGTTATGGACCCACCGAGTCCTCGTGAACGTCACCCGAGACGACTCGGGGGAGCTGGATGACAATATGTCGAACGACAGCCACCGACGTCGACGACTCCTTGCTATACATGCCAAGGAGCACTTCTGAGCGGATGTGACCCGACCAGCATAAGCTGAACCCTCTCGGTACAACATGGTCCGGAGTAGCTAGCTCACTTATGGCCTGCCATTACGAAATATGTACCGGGGGGAGTTCGAGCAAGTAGCGTAGACTGCAAGAGCCTCGTAAGGTGTGGAGCACCTTCGACATTTTGGCGCATGGGGAGGGGGGAACGTGTAACATCCTTTCTGCTTACTAGGTCTAGCTTCCTCATTGTTTGCTTGATCCGAACCAACTCTCCCCCCGCGATTGTAGCGAAGCCTGAAAAACCTCAGTGAATGTTGACCTAGGCTAGGCAATGACTGCATGAACCCAGTCAGTCTTGTGATGCTACTCAAGGTATCTTTTCCTGATTAGCATCGCTGTTGCTTACAAAGGGGACTGGGGCAGAAATGCAGCACAGATAGCCACTCGAACAGAACATGTGAAGTAGCGCGATGACTCAGTCAGGGACGTGCAAGTCGGGGATTGTGGTTGTTGCTTAGTGCATCGATTGATGAGGTTGCATTTAGGTACACTAGTGCCCGACTGCAGCATCCGTGAAAATACGGTCAACAAGCATGGGGGAAAATACCCCAAAGCGACCCATACTGTAGTGTACACTTACCTGAACATGCCGGGGGATGTGCAATAAGGAATTGCAGAGTTGCTATGCTGTTGTCTCTATTTTCCGGGATCCGCGAGCACAGACCCCGGGGGCTGCAGAGATAGACAACGATGTCGACATGTGAATGGCAAATTACCCCGGTAAGGTGTTATCTTATCATGTGGCATTGTATTGAAAAAACACATGTAACGGTAAAGACCGGGGGAAACACCTTCACAAACTTTCACACCCCTCCAAAAGCCCCCACAAACATCGGGGGGGCCTTTAAGGCCGAGGGGGTTCGACCGCCCCTCATGCCCCGGGGAAGAAGAGAGAGAGAGAGAGAGAGAGAGAGAGAGAGAGAGAGAGAGAGAGTTTTGGCTTAAGCCGTGAGTGGTTCAAGGCCGTGCCCAAAGAAAGAAGAGGGCCTCAAACCACAGCGTGACGAGGGAAAGCCTTGGGGCCAGTGCTGAGGGGTGCGATCGAGCTCTCCGGTGACTTTGCGGTTCTACGTGCCTTCCTAGTCGGGGTTCGGAACGGCGACATCGGTGGGAACGGAGCAGCAGGGGGTCTGTGCGCTGTAGCTCGGATTTTGACAACCTCGAGCAGCCCGCAATCGGCGACACTACAGGAGAATTACCACGGCGCAGCGACCAAGTACCAGGCGGCCAAGAACGGCTTCCACACCCTCGAAGATGGACACGGAAGGGGGAGCACCACCCCCTGAGAAGAAGCCGTCAAAGAAGCAACGGGGGGACGAAGCTCAGCCACTGACTCTCGACATGATTCGGGAAGCCATGCGAGTGGAGCTTGGTCGTAGCCGTGATGATCAACAAGTCCATGACCACTGTGTGATAAGAGGTTTCTTCATTTGGAAGTGGGTGGACAGTATCGAACAGATGGTCCAGATGGACAACATCCCCAACTTTGGATGTCCATGTCTCAGTCGCCGGAGCGGAGGTGCAAAGCCCGTTTGGCAGGGAAAGTCAGACAGCCATGAGCCCAAGCAAGCCGCCTTGAAGTAGACTTCGCTATATACTGGCTCCGTTTGGTACTGATCGCCAGGCGGGGGGACGACGGGTGCAGCTGAGCCCCCGTGAAGCACTTTCCTGCTGGGGCAAACATGGGGGCTGCACGGCCACATGGCTCGGTCGCTTGAAGGGGGGGCGTCGATGTTACGGTGGAAGAACCTCCACTGGTGGAAGCAACAGCAACAAATCCCGGAGTCCTGGGAGGGGGGGCAAAAGTGCAAACGTTGACCCAGAAACGACAAATTGCAGCAGTCTGGGGGCTGCAGTGGATGCAGCTGGCGCAAGACCGAGCAACGTGGCAGCAACTGACGCCCACCCTCATCGAACACTTCGACATGCCCTGGAGCACGGGCAAGCAAACAAGCCTTGACAAGCAATGGGGGCAGCGATCTTCCCGACCAATGAAGCTCAGGATGACAGTTTGCTCGTGTCCCACTGCCACTCCCGTGACGGGAAGCCACACCAAACCACACGCACGAGCATCAATCACTACCATCACCGCACACACCGACACCACTCGCATTGGGAGCGCGGCGGAGCCAGACTGGTGCCGAAGCCGGTTCAAAGAAGCTCGGGGGAGCTCGGCGAAAGACCAGGACAACCGCCACAACCCCTGACGACGAAGAAGATGACGATCACGAGGGGGATCCCACTCAGCTCATGCAGACCAAGATGGGGGACCTCCGCAGCAGTAGCAGTAGCAGCGCACAGTACCACCAGGTTGTCTAGCAGCGGTCCATGGTTCGCGTGTGCTGCGCATGCTGCGCTGACTCGCCGCAGTCCGGACCGCCACTGCAGAGGTGCATGTGTAAGGCCGAGTTGAGCAACTTGTGGACCCGAACGGAGTGGGGCATGGGCAATCCGCCCAGAGAAGCCTCACAACGCAGCCGCTGCTCGAACGAGTTCGGGCAAGTAGTTCGACAGCTCCGAAGGCTGCCACAAAGGCTCCCGAGCAACCTCAGCGACGATGATCTCGCAGAAGGTATGGCTGTGGCAGTGAGGGGTTTTTGAGACTAAGGGAACCAAGTAGTGGATGCAGCTGAGCGGCATCCACCGCAGGGGCCTGGAAGCGCGAGATCGAGCCCTTGCTGGCAACAGGGATTGGCTCACTGAAGCATGCTCCTCGAAGACGGGGACGCCCTCATGCAAGAGCTGGAATATACGCCAAGGCAAGGGCATGAGAGCGACTTGGTGGCACTGTCAGAGGGGGCTCAACGGGACACAGCGGTGCTTCTGCAGGGGGACTCCTACCGTTCTTTGCAGACAACGACTTGGACGCCCTAAGCGAGCTCCTTGCTGCTGCCATGGCTTGGTTGCAGAAGGCACGGGGTCACCATCGAAGTCAACAGCCAAGATGACTCCGACGCACAACCTGCGGACAGGGGGCAGCTAGAGGAGGGGACAAACGCCACCAACAGGGTCCCGCACCCACGCTTGCCCATGAGTCCAACGTGGGGGCTACGGGCCCGCTTCTGGAAATTGCGGGCGGAGATGGCAACGCTGGAGGTGCCTGGCTTTGCAGACCCAGAACCGCGCAGTCTCAGCGGCGAGCCGTCGGCCAGCGAGATAGCGGGAGCACGAGCATGGCAACAGCAAATCGAAGCCGAAGAGCATTGTTACCGTCGTGAGAGCCGTAGGAGACTGCTGAGCCCGGAGGGGAGCCGTAGGCGAAACCTTCCTGACTATCGCTCGGATGATAGTGATGCAAATCTTGCGGGGGTCGGCAGTCGCGGACTCCTCTGGCTGTGCTGTGCTGAAAAAGAATTTGGCTCAACCCGTGAGCGGTTCAAGCCCGAGAAGGGCCCCTCTGTCCTGACACGCTTCTTCAGGCCTTCTCGGGAAAACCAGACCTTTTCTTTCCACTCCGCCGCTCCTTGTTTTCTGATGCATTGTTGCAGAAGGACGCCCTATACGCCGTCATCGCCCCACAGAAGGAACTCGGCAGGTTCGGTTAGTACGGTGGAATCACGCTGTCCCTTGACTTGTTCCACAGCCGCCTCTCCTGCAGCCTCGGCGAACCTACTCCTTGAGACCTACTTGCCTACCGAGATCCAGGACTATGTACGTCAAGTCTTAATAATGTGGCGAGGGAGAATAAGAAGTATGCCTATGCATGGGGAGGGGCCGCCGCCTCCGACAGGTTGCAAGGACAAGGTGGCCATCCCTGGTCAGGACGCTGCTGGAGTCCAGAAACACCGTGCCAAAGAAAAGCTGTCCAGGAGGCACTTCTACAACAAGACCACGTGAGGACTTCTGCCGTCAGTCGTTTTAATGGACGAGGCCTCCTGTGCCCAAGATGCCTGGCTGGAACCAGCCGCAGGTGAGAGGCACAGTGTACCCCCGATTAATATATCCAACGGCGAAGCGCAGTCCGTAAAACTGGTGCGGACGAGTTGGCCTGGGCGGTGGAAGCCCGCATGCTTGGCAAGAACCCATTACCCGTTTCAATGCGAACAACATACACTTTTTCCCAACCAGCCAGTGTGCGCAGCTTTTGTCTGGCGAGAAAGAAAAGGAGCATGAAGGTTGATCCCGTTCCGGCACCAAAGCGTTTTTTAGGCTTTCGTGTGGCAGCGGAGCTGATCCAGAGTATCTGGAGCGGCGGCGCGGGTTGCCCCGTTCATTGCGGAGGAGGCCCAAAGGCTCACTGAGTGTCAGGAGTCTACAGGAAAGGGTGGGGGCATCGGTGGACTTGGTTGTTCAAGCTAGGGCATCGAACTATCCGCCCGGCGCAGCATGCATTTTGGTGGCCAGAATCCGGGCTGTTAGCAGTCCTGGTGACACGCGTGCTAGGACCGTGCAATGCCGTTTTGCGATGCCGCCCTTTTTGGTCATGACTCACACAGGCGTGATGCACCACAACTATCGGAGCTGGAGTTCATGCTGCTCAAAGCGGGCTAAACACCATTAGAGACACATGCTAAATCTGTCTTGAACTGCCAGCGCCATCCTGGTCACCACCGTGATCCCCTGAGCAACTGTGCCTTTCTGAGAAATGATCGCGGAAGGCCCCCCGGGCCGAGTAATTGCTACAATGAGTGTCATGAGTCAACAGGCGAAAGGGTGGGGGCATGGGTCGATTTGGTTGTTCAAGCTTCTGGGTCGAACTATCCGCCCGGCGCAGCATGCATTTCGACCCGTGCCATTGCAAAAGGCAAAACTCTCGCTTTACCGTCACGCCAGCGTTTGGATCTGTCCGAGCGGTCATACCCAACGCGCTGCAGAAGCTCCTGGTCCCACCTTTGCCGGGAACGCGTGCAACCTCCCCGCAGAAGCCGCAAACGACTTGTCACTTGTCCGGACAAGCACTTGTGGGCTGGCCCTGCACGACGGGGTCATGAGCCGAAACCAAGCCACATAGTTATTTGCTG